TGATTTAGGCATTGCCTTCATCTGTGCATTTATCTAAGTTGGGACTCAAACCCATGGTTCATGTTGACTGCTTCACTCTCCTTTCCCACTGAGCTACTGGACAAATCACAGTGTTACCCTCCCCTGGGTTTGCTATTATAGTTTTCATTCTTCTTGCAGGAGTTGTGAACATGTATGCATGAGTTCCACAGTAAGACTTGTATCCTTCTCCTGAGAAGCCTCTAGTTTTCTCTGTTGGGCCTTCTTGTACAATGAGAAGCACAGTAGTCTCTTTTCTAATGGCCTAGTTATACATTGTAAGAGTGCACTGGATTGTGTTATATCATGAGCTCATTTGACTACCACCGTGCTTTGATTAATGCCTTCTGTGCCTGGGTGATGTAGGCGTATTACTGTTCCGCAACATCCTTATTTCCAGGCACACTGTGGTATTGCCTATCAGTGCGGCTTCTGTTAGCTGTTCCTGGGTGTGCATTGTATTGTGACTACCTTATGTGGGCATGAAGCCTGCCATAGTAACCCCATATTATGTAGTGGAACAAAAGCATCAGCATGCTCATCTCACTTTTACATAACAGTTCTTTGGGTGTAGAACAAATAGTTGGCGTCTTAAAAAAAATGACTTAAAAGGCTCAATAAATCAAAGATGCAAGGAACTATTTTGCTGGGTGAGGAAATTTCATGGCTGCATACTCTCCTTTATATGGAAACTTTCCTCCTGGCTGCTTATGCGTCAGTGAGGCATGGCATCGAAATCAGCACCTGCCGCCGTAACGTTAGTCATGTTAACAGGCCTAAGTAAAAACACAATGTGACATTAATGTATCATGTAAGGAACTTTTTTTTTTTTTGGTTCAGAACATTCCCTGCATTTACTGTTGGTCAGCTGCTTTCCTAACATGCTTCTGTTATCACCTTCTTGAAGAACAATACCTCTCTTTATTAAGGCTTTCTTATCCTTTTGCTTTCCTTTAAAGCAAAGCCTCACTGGGTTCAACTCATAAAGGATTTTGAAGCTGCGGTGGAGGACAACTTATACTGGGAATGCAGAGCAAGTGGCAAACCCAAGCCATCCTACAGGTGGCTGAGAAATGGAGAGCCTCTGGCATTGGAGGTAATGGTGGCTGTTCTTTCTTTGGGCAGGGGGTGGGGTAGGCATTCTTGCATATATGTAGACCATGGACTCTGCACAAGTAACTCAAAACGAGCTGACAAAGGATAATGTTATGCCTCAAATAGCTTCTGCAGTTAATTGTTTACCAATAGCAAATTATGCTTAAGAGGATTTATTCTTTGGCACATGGGCTAAGCTGCATTGCCAATGTACATGGTGGTGTTGGCACATGAAGGTTGTGCGCCCATCATTTCTGCCTATTCTTAAAATTACTGTTGAATTGCTTGGGTTGTACTGTATGTAATGCTAATCCGAGTCTGTTTATAAATGCGATAAATAAACAACTCAGAGCAGATCCATTAAAATTAATGAGCCTGTCAGTCATGTCTATTAATTTCAGCGGGTCTATCCTGTGTAGGACTAGCATTGTATACAACTCATGGTTCTTACATTTACATGAGCAGTTAGCCGGGTTATCTATCCTACAAAGAAGGGTGCCTCCAGGCTTAATGGAAGTTATTTTCATCCAGTATCACATTGCAGGGTGAGAGATTGTCTTCTGGCTTCCCTCATATATAATCATTTCTGCACTGTTTATGTTGCTCACTTATGCAAATCAAATGGAAAGGTTGCACATAAAAGCACAAGAAATCAAATCTATTGAGAAGTGTCATTTTGCCAACTCAGTCAGCTTCCCCTTCCCCTTGCTGAATAGACAAAAGCAGTAGATGGGGAAGGCAGGGGAGGGCAGAACGGTACAAAATTTATTGGCAGGCAGTTACTATGAAAATTACAGTCTAACAGATGTTTGTTGTCTCACTTTTAGTATCATCTACGTATGTGAGACTGAGAATATCAACTTTATTCGAAGTATACTACAGTGGTACCTTGGTTTAAGAACAGCCCTGTTTACAAACTATTTGGTATACGAACTCTGCAAAACCGGAAGTAGTGTTCCGGTTAGCAAACTTTACCACGGTCTAAGAATGGAATCCGAACGGTGGAAGGGCACCAGCGGCGGGAGGCCTCATTAGGGAAAGCACGCCTTGGTTTAGGAACGGTTTCGGTTTAAGAACGGACTTCCAGAACGGATTAAGTTTGTAAACTGAGGTACCACTGTGTATCACTTTTGCACATTCCTAGTTGCTGGTTTCAGGATCAGCATTTGTCAGGCAACTGTTGTTCAGTTGGACAAGATTCCTAGTAGACCAAGTACAGTGATAACTAACTGAGTAGTAGGGTGATAAATAACTAAGAGAGGAATTCAGTGTAGTGCTAAGTTAAAGTCCCTTAGCACTAGCAGAATTTTTTGCGCTAGTGGAATGGTACTCATGGCTGGTTGCACAACAATTTGCTTGGTTTCGCTTTAATTCTGATACTTCCTATTGTGCAATCTGTTGCACAACAAGCTTTCTGCGCGCATAGCTGTTGTGCAGGATTTCATATTGTGCCCCCATTATTCTTGCCCTTCTGTTAGCACAACAACCCTCCCGCTGGCAGTCAGAGAACGCTGAATCTGAGCCTAGGGTTGTATCTAGTGCTAGTTCAAGATTCTATATACATGTATGGAGGACGCGGGTGGCGCTGTGGTCTAAACCACTGAGCCTCTTGGGCTTGCCTATCGGAAGGTCGGCGGTTCGAATCCCCATGATGGTGGTGAGCTCCCATTGCTCTGTGCCAGCTTCTGCCAACGTTGCAGTTCAAAAGGACACCAGTGCAAGTAGATAAATAGGTACCACTGTGGCGGGAAAGTAAACGGCATTTCCGTGCGCTCTGGCACTCGTCACAGTGTCCCTTTGTGTCAGAAGCAGTTCAATCATGCTGGCCACATAACCCCAAAAGCTGTCTGTGGACAAACGCCGCCTCCCTCGGCCTGAAAAGCGAGATGAGCGCCGCACCCCATAGTCGCCTTTGACTGGACTTAACCGTCCAGGCGTCCTTTACCTTTACCTATACATGAACATCAGTAACTTAATAGGAGGTGATTCTGTGGGGGGAAAGAAAACTGTACACAGACTTATATTAGGTCTGCAAAAGGATGTAGGAGGAGGGGACTCTATAGACTCTGAATTTGAAGATAATCCTGGATCTCCCCAGCCTATGAAAACATGGAAAGCAATATTCTTAAATTAAATGGGCATTTTAAGAGCATATATTGATTACAAAATTGAACTGGCAAATAAAAAAAAGTTCCCTGAGAAAGTTAATGAGTTTGAGATTATGGATTTTAGAAACCTAATAATTGCAGATAAATTAAGTGGGCTAAAGTGTAAAGTTCCCCAATATGATGAGCAGTTTCTTCGTGCCTTTGTTCACAGACTGGATGATCTGAGAAATAAGACTCCTAACTTTATTTTGCCAGCAGTAGCTGAAAGGATCAGAGTCGAAAGCATTATTTCTCACCTCTATGCACCTTTGAAGGTGAGGCAGGGAGTGATACAGGAGAGGGCCTTTTCTATGGTGGGATCCTGTCTTTGAAACTTACTCCCCAGGGGAGCTTACCTAACACCATCTCTGTTATATCTTTATGCAAGGCAAATACTGTTTTTATTCGCCTAGGCATTGGAGGATGTTTACATCTGCTGATGGGATTGCCAGACTTCAAAAGTCTTTTTAGTCATATCTTCTTCTATCACGTTGTATTGTATTCTTCTTCATTGCTATTACTAGTGGGGAGTGATTTGTAAGGATTTTAGTGTGATTTGTAAGGCTCTATTACTAATTTCTCTTCTAGTCATGTTAGTATTCTTTCTTTCTCACAACTGCAAAATGAATCCCTCCGTGGCTTAAAAAAATCATTCCTAAGTGAGAATCATGGACCACAAAAGTGATGGTGGAAATGTGATACTGGCCAAGGGGGCTGAGTCCTGCTGCCCAGATGATCAGGCAAAAAACCCGTGCTATTACAGTCAAGGCTGATTGATGTTCTCTAAGTGCCTCTAAAGATAAATTATAAGTTCTTAGGTTTCTTTCTTTTTATTCAAGTGTGCATAAATTGTGATAAACTGATTGCTGAATGTGATAGCATATAACATTATTATTTGCATATTCAATAAGCAATGATATAAACTTCTATCTACAGTCTGAATTCGTGCTTCATGTATATAAACCCTGTTCAAGGTGAACAAGACCTCTGTTTCTTTCTCAAAACACTACACCCAGTCTCTGGAGTTGTAATATGACTTGACATTCCGAAGGAGCAGAATTGAACCCCCACCCCATGCCAGGCTGCAAAACCGTTTTATAGAAGTAGGCATGCTTGTAAGCACCAAAATTAAAGTGAGTTGATCCCCAGGATTGTTAGGAATAGGGCACATTGACAATCAAATCCAACTCAATTTTCTCAGAATTCAAAAGAGGATTTTCAAAGCTGGTGTTCCAGTTTGAGGCTTATATCTGCTAGATAGCACATAAAGCCTTGTAGCTCATAAAGGCCTTTATTACTGTTATTATTGTTGTGCTACTCTCTTTGGTCAGAGCATGCCAGAAACTTCACAGTTGACTCAAGCATCAGTTAAGCTACGTTTAAACTCTTCAAATGAGATTTGATAAAAGCATGCGGTATAGTTGTGCAGTCAAAATAGCTTCCCGTGTCTGTTTTACCAGTCATTTAAAGGCATATACATTTCTAACTTTTGCTTTTGCTGTCCAGGGAAGAATACAAATCGAAAATGGGGCTTTGATCATAACAAACCTCAACTTGACAGATTCTGGCATTTACCAGTGTATTGCAGAAAACAAACACGGGACAATATATTCCAGCGCAGATCTCAGAGTTGTAGGTAGGTCTAAAATTTCCTATCTCTTTCATAGAATCGTTGGGTTGGAAGGGACCCTGAGGGTCATCCAGTCCAACCCCCTGCAATGCAGGAAACCTGCCCACAGTCATCCCTGAGTGGGCTCGAACCACCGGCCTTCTGATTAACAGCCAGATGCACCAATCCATTGTGCCACTGTTACTGAATATGTATTTCCATGCCATGTAGTTGTCAGAATGATTGCCTTAAGAAAAAAACAAGTGGCAAAACTTGGGGTGTTGTTGTTTTCTCATCGCAGCAAAGCAACTTCTAATTGTGGTGCTGCAATACTTTACTCACCTGCATCTAGAGGATGTATTAGATGGGTGCGGGGGTGGAAGATGAAGCCTGGTGTGTTTTACAGCCCAATCATTCACTGCTTTAAAACGAGGACACCAAGATAAATTATTAATTAGGGGGAGAGCAGAGACAAAGGCTTGGATGCAGTCCCAGAGATTAAAACTAATCACACGATCTGGAAGCAACTTCGGTTCAGCACATTACTCAGGTGTGCTGACCTTCTGCATCACGGCCCTGGTATTCCTGGGAGAGCAATGTCATTTAAAAAGCAATAAGATGGGTTCCTGTGACCCCTTCCTTGATTATGGAGACAGGGGCCAGTTACTGAGGTTATGCCAACTTGCTTTTGAAAACAAATGGCAAACACTCATCAAGGCTGAGTGCTTGACTCTCGGCGCTTCCACAGAATTCTAATAACAAGCACCCTTTTTCACTGATAAGGCAGTTGAGAGAAGCCTTGACGACCACGTCGTGCAGTTTCCTTTTAAGCATTTCTAAATAGTTACCAGCACCTGTTCATTGTTACAATTCACAAAGGTCACATCAAACTATCCTCACAGCTATATACAGCACATGGGGTCGTATCCAGCCAGTGCAAGTTCTCAGTCCTCTCCTTTCCCTGTGCAACCCCTAAATCTCACCCACAACAGATTTAGGGGCCATGCTGGGAGAGAGAATGGCAGGGAAGTTCCACTGCACAGCCCAGAATTGTTATGCTAGCAGAACTGTGTAGTTGGAACCACACACGGGCTATATTTGGCCAGTTGTCTCACTCCATTTGTCACTTGTAATATAACCTGCTCTATTTGTACTGAAGAGCATGAGGAAGCCAAGTGGAGCCTGCTAATGGTTTGAGGTTGATTGCAAGGTTATTAGTTTGAGAGTTTTTGTGTGTGCCAAAAGCAGTTCTCTGATATTGCAGCACTCGATAAATTTGCAAAAAAAAATCACTTAAATATGAGCCCAAAATCAAACTAAAGGTCAGCTCACCTGGCATCATTTTAACATTGCCCTTCTGCTCTTTGAAGTTATCCTAAGCTGTGTATTCCAAGGAGACCTGTCCTGCTTCCATTTTGTGTTCCTTCATTAGCACCTTGGCTGAAGAGGTTCCATATTTTCGAAAATGGTTGGCTGGCAAAGAACTCGCAAACCAAGCCCTAAATGCTCTTGAAAGCCTCCTGCCAAAATCTTCTGCTGAAATGAACAAGGAAGTGCTTTTGCCTTCGGTCCATTGCCGTAGCACTTCCCAAAATTGTTAATGTTAAGTCTTCCTCATGTTCCTGATGTAATCAAAGCAACGCTGTCACCTGCTGATTAGCCACGAAGAACTCTGATATTATTTTGGAAGAAACGATCATTTTGAACGCCACCTGAAGCCTAGACCAATTGTTTTGGGGCCCTTCCCAGTCTTACTAGTAACAGCATTATAGTATGTGTTTCTTCGCCACCACCAGACTGGTAAAATGAAGCAGTCATCAGCATTATCCCATTGTAACCCACATCCTGACATGCTAAAAGTTGTGTCCTTATGCAGTTTCTGAAATCAAATTATATTCAGAAAAGCCAGTTTCTCTGGATAGCAGTCGCTGGGAGAAACTGGCGGAAGAAAGATGTTCCCTGCTTGTGAGCTTCCTGCAGGCATCTGGTTGACTGTTGTGCAAAATGGAATTCTGGACTAGATAGACTTCTGGTGCGATCCAGCAGGACTCTTCCCATGTTCAATGAAATGAAAATGAAGTATGCGTTTAATTCCAGCTGAATTCAATGACAATTTAATGTGTGATAATGTGCAATGGTAATTCAGATTCTTCGGCGGTTAAATGAAAAATGGGCCTATTTTAACTCACGGGATCCACTGAGGCCATGGCAGAGAAAGTTGTGTTTCATAGTTAATATTCTTTTTTCCGCTGCTAGCCTCTGCTCCTGACTTCTCTAAAAGCCCGATGAAGAAGCTGATTCAGCTTTTAATTGGCAGCACAGCTCATTTTGACTGCAAGCCGAAATCTTCCCCTAAAGCGACGACTACTTGGAAAAAGGGAGGTGAGCTGCTCCAAGAAAATGAAAGGTATTATGTGAATCATGAGTGCTTCCATACTACAATTTAAACTATTATTCTTAGTCCCTATCCTGAATAATAATAATAGTAATAATAATATGCACTAATCTAAACGAGGTAATAAACATGCAAACACAGCTTTTGTAAAAGTAATTGAGCTTCTCTTTCCCACCTTTTTGGATCCACCAGAGTAACATTCAAGGCCACTGAAACAACATCCTGTCTCCCCAGTTCCCCAGCAGATACACTGCACATACATTTGGTCTTTTTCTGATTATATGGTTAAGAACGGTAGCTACAGAAGTGTTGCAACACTTCAGAGAGCGATTTCTTGTGAAGTGGTCTTTCATACACACAACAGCCTGCCTCGCAAAATGCATGAGATAGGGTGTGTGCTTGTTGTTATGTAATATATAAACACAACGCACAAACGCACATAGATTGCAACAGCAAGGAATTTTAAAAGATAGGAACTGAAGATTCCAGGGTTACAAAAAAGGAGCAAAAGCCTTAATAGCTAAATAACTTCTGCTTATAATACGAAGGCTGGAGGTGGAATCCTACACACTCTACTAAGGAAGAAGTCTGACTGATTTTTTTCCTGAGTAAACATACTTTTGTGAGTTTGCAGTGCGGGTTAGGCTGTATACCTGACCAGTAAAGTGAAATTGAAGTATGTTCCTAAGCAAACAAAAACAAAAATACTTTATGCCCCAGGAAGCTTATAATCTAAATTCAGTTAGTCATGCGCAGGAGAAAGAATAGTGGAAAGTAAGCAATAGGAAAGGCGGGGAATGGATGTGAGCAAATGCAGAACATGTACCAGGGCTTTGTTTCACTTGAGCGTGAGACCTAGGGAATTAAGACAAAGGCTTCTCAGATGAAGGGCATTTTCAGCTGAATTTGAAGAAAGGGGGTCACTAGGTAGGAAATTGTAGCATCAAATGAGGTTTAACAACTTGACAGCATTGCTCCAGGAAGCCTTGCCAGGTTGGAATTTTATCAGCAAAGAGCAATGGGTGGTGGTTGTTGTTGCAATGTTTGAAGCAAAACTGAAGAGTCCTCAGCTGCCTCATTCAAGTACACAAATCTTGCCCCCTTCCTCCTTTTTTAAAACATTCCCCCAAATATGGGGAAATACTTCCACAGGAAGAGAAGTTCTTTTTAAAAAAACACAACTCAGTGTGGTTCAGCACAGCACTAGGCCAGCAAATGCATGATGCCTTGATCTAGTTGGGAATACAGCTTCTAATGCAAATAAGGATGCAAATCCCATTGAAATGTTCAGTTCAGTGCTGACCAACACTATGTTTCCATCTATCTTGCGCAAAATTGGATAGATCTGAACATGAGGAAAGTTAGGGATAACTGTCAACACCACTAGAACAACAATATCAATACTGAAAATGCAACATCATGAATATCTATATATCCCCAAATACTAAATTGTGTCACCAAGATACTGTCTAGGTGACAGAATATAACTTGCCTGAAGTTTGTAAAGTTTTGTTCCATGCACTGTGTGTGAGAGGGAGAGAGTGCACAGCTGACTGCGGAAATTAGAGGGGGGAAATACAGTAGAAGCTATATGTTGAGAAAAAGGTGACGTACTCTGGTAATACTGCAGGCGTAATATCATTTCATACAAACTCACGCCCTGTTCCAGCAGTTGGGCGTTTTAGCACAAATTGGCCTTTAGCACAAAACTGATGAGACGTTGTCATTGTCTCTGGAGATTTGATTTGTGCCATAGTGTCATCATAAGCAATATTTGAAAAGTGAGGCATGCACATAAAAGGAAGAATACATGGTAGAGATTCGTGTTAAGAAATGACTGGTGCTTAACAATGAGTCACCTCCTGTTGTTTTCTAAATAAAATGCATTGTGAAGAAGTTGCAACGCCATAGCAAATCAGCAGACGATACAAATTATTCTGGAGAGTCAAAGTGGTGCCAAGGGAGCTAATAAAGCCAGGCAGCCTAGCAGCACCTTGACAGTTCAGAATCAATGCTGACAAATGCAAGGAAATGTGTGTTGGAAGGGAAAAATTGAACTACTCATGTACAGGACTAGGTTGTAATAAATTAACCTGTAACAGCTTAGACTGGAGCATCACTTGTGGAGAGTTCAATGGAGATATGTGCTCATTCTGCAGCAGCAGCAGTCAAAACAAAGTGAACTGAGAAATGAAGAACGAGATAGAAAATAATACTGGAAATCTCGTTCTGTTGTTACATAAATTGATTTTAATGCCCTTAGACCTTGAATGCTGCACACTGTCCCGATCATCCTAGCTCAGTGATATAAAGAGACTAAGGGATGGCAGGTGAAGATTCAAAAAAAATTGCAAAGGCATCCCTATGAACTGTGAGTAGGAAGAACTCAAGACTGATTTAGTCTGAGGAAGACTAATTGTATGGGAATCTCTAGGTACAGAAAAAGCATTATCAGAAGCTTAATATTTACCTAACTATAGCTTCCATTACTAGGAACAAATGAAAAGCAGTGCATTTAAGGCAGCAAGGAGCTTATGTTGACATATTACCATTAGCATATGGTATGGTTGAACCAACATTGTGGAGTGACTAGAGTGTTCTGTTTGGAACCAAACTGACAAGTTTGTTGTTATCCAGAAGTGTTTCATTGGGATTGTTGAAGGAAAGATGGGACATAACAATTGTTCTAAATGTGCCAGATTACTGAAAGGATTGAGATAAGGGGGGGGGGGGGAATCCAGTATAAATAATTGTCAGCCGTGGTACTATGCACTATGAATGGAGAGCATGAGAAATGATTTTGAAAT